CTGTGTGTGTGTAGCTGGTCTCCGTGCTGTGTGTGTGTAGCTGGTCTCCGTGCTGTGTGTGTGTAGCTGGTCTCCGTGCTGTGTGTGTGTAGCTGGTCTCCATGCTGTGTGTGTTCTGGTCTCCACCATCTGCCTCCACACCCTCTGTTGACACTGATGCTGTTACTGCCACTCCTTCTTAGCTCTAAATCCCATGGCAAATCTTCAAAACATACTTAAGCATTCTGGGGCAAGTCGTCATTGGCTTCAAAGCTGGCTAATATCTCTCGGTTTCCCTCTTTTTCATCTCTTTGTTCTCTTTTTAAATAGCATTTCTTAATCGTTTTTAGACCTTGCCAGACCTAGCACCGCCACTACAGTGATGTCCAGTCAGAATCTACCTCCAGAAAGAAGCAGGCGTCCTGAGCTGAAGACAAACTCGCAGCAGAATCGATTCTGCCGGAAAGCCGGCTTGCGAAACACCTCCACAGACGTTTGCAGTGCACACAGTGACATACTGCAGACCTAGAATAGGCTATTACTGAACACGCTGCAGACCTCTGCTACAGAACAAAACTGTATGCTGATTATAGAACAAAACTGCAGACTACGATTATAGAACAAAACTGCAGACTACGATTATAGAACAAAACTGCAGACTACGATTATAGAATAAAACTGCAGATGTCATTACAGAACAAAACTGAGGGCCTCTATTACAAAACAAAACTGAGGACATCTACTATAGAACAAAACTGCAGACCTCGATTATAGAGTAAAACTGAGGACCTCTACTACAGAACAAAACTGCAGACTGATTATATAACAAAACTGCAGACTATGATTATAGAACAAACTGCAGACTACGATTATAGAACAAACTGCAGATGTCTAGCACAGATTAACACACCTTAGACTCCCAAAAACACTATAAATCATTTACATGAAAGACATAGCAAAAAACTTCACATTTTCTGCCGAATGCAACACAGATATATCATGCACGACACACCATAGACATCACACAGAACATACTAGAGACACTTCTCACAGAACACCCTATAGATATTTTAGACAGAGCAGCCCATAGACTTCACACAGAACGCAACATAGCTAGTCAAAGAGAAACACTTTAACTGCTGGCCATAATTTCACAAACTGACTGTATCTGCGATGTTCTTTCTGATTTGAGAGTAGGACTGTTCGTTTGCCGTGTGAGAATCTCGGGTGGAACAGAAATTTCCGGATAATCCCCACACCCCTTGCAGCGAGGCTTCTCAGCAGACATAGTCTTCCTAACAGGAGGCCAAAGTCACAGAGGAGAGCGGCCAGAAGATATCCCACCGAGGTCGCACCAAAAATGCTCCACAGAGGCCGGGCGAGCAGACTGTGACGTCTTAAGAGGGACACACAATGTACTTTTAGCGATAGTTACTGTTGACACGGGGTCATTCATTCCTCAAGGCAACACAGCTTTACAACTAAATACTACTAAATGAAATTTCATCTTATAAATAAACCTTTTCTTTGTTGTGTAATAAGTGGGTTATGCCTTTTTCCTGATTCCCTCCCGCATCTTGAGTGGTGTCCTTCCTGCTCCGACTGTTAACTGATTGTGTGCATCTGTGGGTTCGTTTTCAAGGTATCTGCACCTATTATGAGGGTCAAGAAGGGGTTGGTTCATTGTTTGTGGGGCTCACTCCATCCCCCCAGACATTACAAAGATTTCATAAATGCCTAGTGAGTAGAGTCAGAAGATCACATCTAGCTAGCTGGTCACCAGGACATGTTGTTTTGTCATCTCTTAAATGAACTTGTTTATTCAATATTTAGTGTAGTGACTGTTTGTGGGTCCCCTAATTTCGAGACCCCACGTAAATGTGGCATTAGGACTCCTACAATGGCTGTACAGCCAGATCAAGTGGCCATTATGAATGAATGAATGAATGAATGTTGCATTCATATAGTGTTTTTCAAGACACCCGAAGCACTTTAGAGAACCAACCACTATCAACCACCACCATGTGTAGCTCCCGGCAGGCTGGTTATTTGTGTAATGCCTCTGTGAGCAAAACAGGTTTATATTACTCCTGCCTTTCCTCTGGGATGATATGGCTCAAAGAAACAGCTCCACGTTGTAAAGTTCCTCATTTATTTCCCCCCACATCCTACCTACACTTTTAAGATCTATTATCTTGGCAGTTTATTATCACAGAACCCTAATTGAAAAATTATTTTAATACTGCCATAACTGACCTCAAAAATACCTTCTTGTTTTAAAAGTCTAAAATATTAATTGCTGAAAGAAATCTGCATTTTTCTTCCCCTTTGACCCAACTGTCTCACATCCCGTAGATGGTTGTTTGTAAAGATGTAAGATATAAGTACCCGACACACCTGAGCAAGCAGGCATTGTTGAAAGATGTTAAACTGAGCCTCAGTTCACGGCTTAATTATCCAAGCAATTAAACTCGGGCACATAAGGCGGCAGGTACAGGGAGGCGTGTGCGTGAAAGTTTTTCGAGAGTGCTGTGTGACGCTCTGTCATTATAGGCAAAGGCGGGAAGAGGGATGAAGACTTGGGCGGGGCCTAATCCCTGGATCCCGAGTTGCCGTCGATATCACTGATGCAAATTCAGACTCGAATTTGGGCTAACAGCTGGCCGCTGAAACAGCAGACGGGATGGGGGGGGGGGGCTGATGCCTCTCAATGCTCCCTGAATGTTCTTAATGTTGCACTTCTAGTGATTGAATAGCCTAATTACCTTCTTGCTGTATTTGAAAGGTATTGTGTAGCTCCTGCTTCAATCCTGCTTATACTTGTACCTGGGCGTTCATTGTAAGCTCAGTCCAGCTGCACTTATGCCAGTCAACTGCGCGACAGCCATATGTTTATAATATGCTATTTGCCTAACTTGTACGTCACGTCGGACAAAAGCGTCTGCTAAATGAAAGTAAATGAAATGACAGCTTGAAAGGGGCTTCCAAACAGGCGGGACACTGGCTGTCTTGTGCCGTCGAGAGATTAGGCAGATCCAGGAGGATAGATGCAATCTTTACAGACCCCGTTGAGTCACCAAGGCCTGAGAAATATCACCGGAGTGACAAAACAGATTTCACACAAGGAATGAACAAACGTTGGCTGAATGTGGTTAGCCTGGACGTGGCTATAAGGCGCCTTCGTCGGCAGGTGAGGCTAGGGAGGGCCGCGAGCGGACGGCAATGCATGCGTTAGCCTTCGAAGCCCTACATCCGCAACAATCTCCCTGGGTTCTGGACCCAGAGAGGCCGCAGCCAAGTTATAATTCAGTTACACCAGCGCTGCTCACAGCTGGACCTAGGCTGGTAATTAAGTGTGATTGGATTTCCTATGAATTAATAAAAAATAAAAAAAATCACCTAGGGTTCCCTCTTTTGTGTTAATGCAGATTTCCAACTCGTTGAGCGTTTTTAAAAGTCACAACAGCTGTGGGAGACCCATTCACCGGCAAGCCGTCAGAAATGTTGGGGCTCGCTTCTGAGTCATGTGCTTTTAAGCAGAGGGAACGGGAATAAATTCCAAAGTATACTATAAATTAGAACTTAATAAGAAGACCAGAAGCAGCATGTTTAACCTGCAGAACACTGTGCAGATACGGACATTTCAGACAACGTTCAGCTGACACAAGATTAATGTCTCGTTAACTTACCACCAATCAAACAACTTTGAAATAACTTGCTTGTATGATAACTGAAGAGCAAATTTCCAAAACAAACTCCATTTTCTGTTGTTTTTTGCGATGAGGCCGCCAAGTCAAGCTCCCTCATCATATGTTATGGTATTGAGAACCAAATCTAAACTCAGTCCTCATGTAAATGAAGACTTTTTGTTAAATTTCCAAAGCTCACTAAATCCACATAAATGGTGCTTAGTCACAAATTTATCCTGGCTAAGTATCCTATGGACTGAGCAAGTTTTGGAAATTTGCTCTTCAGTTGGAACTTATTTATATAGTAGACTATATATGGGGCAGATTAGGATGAAGATTTTGCTCGAATCTCTGAGTAAGCAATAAATTTTAGCTGGTGTCACAGTTACACAAATAAATATTTTATATATTTAGACTTTGTTACATTTGTGTCAGACTTTTTATTTCCAAAAAACATGACCGTTGTTTGTGAGGCTTTGATGAAAGTCTTGGGAACTTGATGAAATTTGACGTGTCTGATGTTTAAGCAGAACTTCACTGTCACAACATAAAAAAAAACAAAAGTGAAACTCGGTTAAAAATATTTGGTCCTGAAATGGAAATATTTGGGCCTAAAAGCCACTAAAGTCTCTTTTTAGTTTTCCGTCCACTTGGGAGTGACCTTTTCGTCCGATGGAATCAGATTCCAAAGACTCCGGAATGCAGAAAAGTCATCCTCCGGAGAACCACAGCCTTTTCATTAGTCCCGGAACCCGACCGGATGGATGCGCAATTCAAGGACCGCTGTAATTGGAGTTCTGGATTTGAATGAATAATTCCAGGGGGCCGCAGATGACCCTGGAGGAACGGTCTGCCGATTTCCTGAAATGAAAACAGTCTGAGAAAAGCAGTTCTGACCCTTCTGTGCTGGAATGCAAGGTGACAGAAGCTCGATCCCACAAATGCAACTATAAGACTTTATTAAATGCTTTTTTTGTAAACTAAAGTCTAACATTTGCGAGATTTTTCTTCATGTTTCATAACATCACCAGCACACAGCTTTACAATACCACAATCATGTTCAGAAAAACATAATCTAGTTTTAAAAAAATCAGATAAATTTCTCATTCACAGAAAAAGCCTTGTAGACGAATCAGACAAAGGCTAGTTTAAACTAATACCAGTGAAGATTTTCTAAGATAAAAAGGATTGGCTGTCAAAATCATTCTCAAAATAATTCCTGAAACCAATTATAGAATTACATGTTATGTGTGTCTGTGTCTCTGTGCATGCCTGTGTGCGTGACTATGTGCATATATGTGTCTGTGCGGGTACATTCATCACTGTGTACCTATGTAAGTGTGTGTGTGGACACCTTTGTGGTTGTGTGCGTGTGTGTGTGTGCAGTGCCTATTCCCCTATGCCTAATGGTCACACTGCCCTAAATCTTACGTGTGTATTTGGGAATGTGTGTGTGTGGTCCAGATATACATTACATTGTTGGGACAAAACGTCCCCACAATGTGATAAAAAACTTTTTTGGTTAGAGTTTTCCCCATAGAAATGAATGAATACCGCAATTAGAGATATAATTACACACCTACGTGTATGTGTGTGTGTATGGTACCTATTCCCCTGCATCTAATGGACACGCCGCTATGAGCCCGATGTATGTATTTGGGTGTATGTGTGTGTGAGTGTGTGTGCCTGCAGTACCTATCCCCCCATGCCTAATGGACACGCAATTGTAAGCCCAATGTGTGTATTTGGGTATATTTATGTGTGTGTGTGTGTGTGTGCAGTACCTATTCCCCCATGCCTAATGGACACACCATTGTAAGCCCAATGTGTGTATTTGAGTGTATATGTGTGTATGTGTGTGTGTGTACAGTACCTATCCCCCCATGCCTAATGGACTCGTTTCCCACCTGAGGCGCCGTAGAGCCGCACTGCCGGGGATTAGGGATCCGGGCAGCGGCTCCGTGGCAGAGAGCAACACGCTGCCTCTGGCCGGACAGCCTGGCCGGCTTTCAAACGGCACAGCCGGGCAGGAACGCCTCCAGTCACGCCACTGCGCCCTTTGTTCCGCACACCGTGTAATCCCACATGTAATGAACGGCCTGCCATTATTTACATCATCCTGACAGAACGTCGAGGAGGAGGCCTGAGAAACGAATACCCCTTCATCTCCCCCTCACGTCATTCCTAACCTCCTCACTCACCTCCGCACGCAGAACCATCGTGCCGAATCAACAGCAGCAAAGAAGGCCAAGTCGGGGGTCCTTCAATGGGTTCTTCATGAAAAAGCAGCTTAAAAAAGGACCACTGGGGAGTTTAAAGGCCTTCCATAAAACAAAAACCCCGGTTCTGTGGGAATTTTTTTGGAAAAGGGTTGTATTAACAATTAAACTGTACTGTACTACGCTGCTGCTATTGGCAGCAGCTGGGGGTGATTTATAATCTGACACCCAGCTTCTACGATGGTTGCTTCTCTTAACGCTAATGATGGAGCATGTGAGTGTGCAGGCTGATGCGACCTATCAATGGTTTGGAACAGGAAACAACCACCGACTCTCTCCACACACACCACACGGTCTGAAACACTGCACTGCATGGTTTGCACTGTTCACTAAAGAAGCCAAAGCCTGCATGCATGGCCAGTAACGCTGTAACCAGAGGCACATTAACACGGTCGGGGGGACCCTCCACTATTTTGTATGATGGTATAGTTGTTGACCTGGGGGGGGAGGTGTTAGCTGAGGCCCCTGCGCTTCAGCCTGGGTAAGCCCCTGTCTGCAACCCTAAGAAAGCTGCAACTATTTCATTGGAAGAAGCAGACATGTGATCAAGCGGTGCAGGTTAATTGGAACAACATGACACTGGAGCTTCTGTGAGGGAGAATCCCACTGACACGATGCCACTTCATGATATGCTACGATGGAAAACCACAGTTACAGTTGCTGTTTAGGCTTCCATACAGGCGGTAGTACTTCCCACAGCATCAGGGAATCATGGGAAATGATTAGAAACCTTCACTTTTTAAGTAAATATCAGTAAGCACAAATACTTTTAGTTTTACTGCATTGACTATGGGTGATATGTGACAGATGTTGCTGAGATAATAAAACCAAGAAAATGTCTGTAAATAGAAGAAGTAAAACTGCATAAACTGCACGTCCTACTCCTGATGTGAGAGGGAAAATTCTTAGTAAAAAATATATATATATATGTATGAGAGGATTTTTGTGGAATAATTTCCTTTAGACACGTATAAATAATGCTATGGTGAGCAAAATCACTTTATATTTTATGTACACTTGCCTTTAATCACTCCTAGTATTTGGCAAGTATAATCCCACTCAAATCTATTTAAGGTTTTTTAAACATACACAGGAAGGGAAAGATGAACTACCTCCTCTCTATCTCTGTCTGCAGACTGCAGGGGATCAATACAGTATCGGGAGGGATTGTGTGTGCTGAATAGCCTTCCTTTATTGGATCCATCGGACTACGGAGGTCCACAGTCACTGGGTGCTGGACGCTTTCGTGTTGGCGTCATATGAGTGAAATCGATAAGAATGTCCGATGATCCCAGTTTAACAAGTCTTCCTTTTTCAAAAGTCCAGGAGGGCTGGTGGTCTTGATGTGCTGACCTAGGCTGCATGTTCTAGGCTGCCTGGACACCCCCACAGAACCCAAGGAGTCAAACCAACCAACCACCTACCTCGCAGGGCCTGACATCATATTTAATGCTGTGCTTAGCTCTGGTGCTGGAAAATGAAATAGTCCAGACACGTTCTCGAATGGTTAAACGTGGAGAGCAGGTTATGAGCTCCAGGGCGACCCCATGCAGTGGAGGCGGGGCGACCCCTCTTTGATTGCGGTCTCCATTCTGTCCGCGAGCCGCCAGGGCTCCCGGACACCGAGGAGTGCAGATGTACAAGGCAAACGCGAGCACGTTCGCATGTTAGCACGGCAACCTAACAATAATGCGGCACCGGGGCAGCGAGCCTTTCAATGGCCTTACCTGCAGCGTGCGAAGATACCCATGTGAAGCATGAACAGCGCGCCGCAGGTTCCCGAACCGGGATCCGTTCAAAATCGTCTTAAATCCACCTCTCCCGCTTTCAGCCGCGCCCTGCAACCGAAACCACATCAGTTTCCCCACATGATATTATATTCCTTTAACACTGATGAAAAACATTGCATTCCGTTTTTTTGTAACATATACACCGCTGTGCGGCGACATCAGTTTACCTCAAAGTAAGCACTAAGCACCAGAAAACCGCACATCTCGCAATCGATATTTACTCTGCCACTAGTCCGTATCTGAAAGTATAAGGGGGTACTTTAAAATATATTTTAACAGGTATCATTCATGCGGGGGGTTAAATCATTCAAGTAGAAAAACGCGAACTGGTATCCCCGTGTTTACGTCTTATACCAAAATTAATCTTGAAGTTCAGAAATCATCGGTTTTTAAGAAAACCAACTTTTCAAGTGCTTTTCAAAGCTCGCGGTGCTATCCCCTTATAAGAATCTATTTAGCATTATTGTCATCACTTTAAATTCCATCCATCTTCTGAAACCGCTTATCCTATTCAGGGTCGCGGGGGGTCTGAAGCCAATCCCGGAGGCTACGGGCTCAAGGCAGGGAACAACCCAGGATGGGGCGCCAACCCATCATAGGGCACTATGGGCACAAGACAGGGAACAACCCAGGATGGGGCGCCAACCCATCACAGGGCAAACTCACACCATTGATTTACACATTTACACAGTAACTCCAGTTAACCTCAGTATGTTTTTTGGACTGTGGGGGTCGGAGTACCCGGAGGAAACCCGACAACGACACGGGGAGAAGATGCAAACTCCACACACATGGGACCCTGGCGGAGACTCAAACGCAGGTTCCAGAGGTGTGAGCATCGGTGCTAACCACTGTACCCTCGTGCCACCCTCACGTGAAATTATTTGTTCTTTTTTTCCTGAATGAGGCAGCAAACCGCGGATTCTCTCAACTGAAGCGTCCTTCTGTCTATAGTCCTCTCGTTTTCTTTGTATTACTTTGTTGGTGCAAACTGCCAGCGCAAAAAAAAGAAAAAACCTGAGCATCACAGTAGAGAAATTCACTAAATGGATCAGCCGAAGCACTTAAATTAAGTTATGAATCAATTTCACATGGCTGCCGAAGGAGACATGACTAAATTCAGTACACACAAGTGCATTTGTGTTTAATAATGTTATAATGAGAAAATACGTAGCCTAACATTACGTGAACAAGCAAAGGAGTTTAGCCTCTGGATATAATAAATACTGTTGCTATAATGTGAGAACATAAACATATTTCAGCGTGAGAAATATCTCCCGACAGTACTCATCCAGATGACGCGTTTTCTTGCTAACATTATTATATTCCAACGTTATGGAAGGCCTACCGTTTCCCCCTATTTTATGAATGGGATGATCATCGGAATGTGACTCAGTCATTGGCTGGTCCTGCCTCCTGTCATGCCCATCAATTTGATCTACTGCTTTATCTTCAGATTTCACTTCAGCTCCGATAAAACAGTCTCTCCTCCCCAACCTCCCCCGGAAAGCGCCGCTCCCGACTTCCAGTCCGGGTCTTTAATTTGCATCGTCGCAAGGGGGCAGGAGGAGGTAGGATCTGGATTGGCCAGGGAAGCGTGGCTAGAAGACGGGATTCCTCTCCGCCTGGTTCGCTTGCAGCAGAGCCGGAGACGCGGAGTTGAGGTGGTAAGATCGTTGAGGGAGCCGCGGAGAAAGCACTTTCAGCATTATTTTTATACAGAAACCCAGAATCATGAGCATAACGCCACCAAGCTACCAGCACCGTACTCTCTCTCTACGAGTTGCCTAATATATCAACCCGTTAAACGGAATCTACTTTTTAATATTTTGCTGTTTGTTTCCCCCACTCATCAAAGAGGAGGGCGGCGGCATTTCGCTCTGCATCGCACAGCTGGCGTTCACACGAGTCCTGGGACCCCTTGAACCCGATCCCTTCCTCTTCTTTTTTTTGTTTTTGTCGTTTTCACCGTTTCCTCCCTTTGCACACCATCACCGCTCTTTAACACTCCCGCAAATACACCGGGAGAGAAGTAACTGCCTTTCCACGTCTCCCCGGCGTCTCAGAAGCGGCTGACATTATTATCCATTAAGGAGTTGATTTTGTCCTTTGCGCGATGGGGAAAAGTGGAGTGGGACAGGCGGGATACTTGGTGCCAACGTGCCCCATGCCGGGCTTGGTGCTGCTCGTCCTGGCCAGCATCGGAGCGGCGCAAGGTAAGACAGCGTCCCCTCCGGTCCCCCTGGATGGCTGCTGCGTGTCGCACCTCGGACTTTCCCTTGGCACTATGCGCGTTGGGGCTGACAGATGCTTGTGGACGCGGTGATCGCGATGTGCCAGGACAATTCTCCGTTAGGCAAAGTTTTCTTCGTAATCGTCGTACGCCTCACATTAGTGCCTTTCCATACTTGCGGCTATTGTGCATAATGACGCCTTTTATATCCACATAAACAGTACGGGTGCGTTTTTCTACTGCTGAACTCGGCCGTATTGATCATACGGGCGATTTTTGACGGAATAATCATCTGAAGTTTAATAGGCTATATAGCCTACCACGCCTGTTAAAAATCGGGGAAATTTGGACAGAAACTTGTACAATGTTAGACCTGCCGAAGGTATGAGTTTTCCTAGACGTATAGTCCGCCTTTGCCTTCTCCCTAGTTATTAACTATGTGAATAAGCGACACATTTGTTAATTTTCACTGCAAACCCGGGTCGTGCGCCTGGAAACTGTCGCTGCGAAGCTTTGCTGAGTGTGACCGAAATGAAGAGAGTAAATCTTCCTAACTGCTAATGGACGGTCCCTTTTTATCGGTGTTTACATATTTGTTTCCTTGCTGTGATCTCTCAGAAAGTCAGTTTCATGTCGGCTTTCTGAATGGAAAAATCAATCTTCCGCTAGGCAAGTGAAGGTTGCCGTTGGAGAGAAACGTTATGGTGCCTAGTGCCCCCGGTTTGAGCGTTTCATAACAGAAATATTGATCGTTGCGTTTATTTAATTTTAACAATCATCTTTATGATATTATTTAGTTTTAATTGGGAATATGGGACAGTGATGTACTGCTGCAAGCCCTTTAAACACGGCTTCTAGTCTCTAGCTCCCACTGAATGGAGTTCCCAGTGATTCCCGATTCCCGTCTTTCCCATCGAAAAGTGCATACGGTTCCCATTCGTTCCCATTGAAAAAGTACTTTCCCGTTTCTTGTATTAAAAGTAAAATAATTTTGCCATCTTTTTTACACGCAGGTCAAACATTAAAAGTTAAATCGCACTGGTTATAAACGCGTCAGCTTGTGGTCATCAAGATTCGTGGAGTAATTAATTGTGCAATTATGAGCAATTAACATTTGAAAATAAAACAGCTATGGCGTGTGTCTGAGATACTGCGTTAAGCCGGTAATGTCGCGGGTATTTAGGTAAAGTCATACGCTCTTTAAAGGGGCCTAACGACGAGGCAGGAACAGATCATTTCAGTAATTAGTACAATGATATAAGATTCACATAAGATAAACTATTCATTCGTGCCCCCAGCGAAATGCCTTTGTTACGTTCAAATTTACGACTTGAAGAAAACGGCAATTGTTATTTTTGTACTTAACGGTGTGATTTAGGATAGGCTACTTTAACTAGGTAATTCATCTATTTTTTATTAATACTAATTGTAATTTAATACAAGGGCCTATTTATAATCGCTGTGCACATTATTGGTATTAACAATAGCCGAAAACAGTTATTGTGATTGTAATTCAATGGCCGCCTGTCTACTGTAAATTATTACCTTTAATAAAGAGTTCTTTTCTGTGGACAGAATTCATTCTGTAGAAGTTAAACGTGTATACAATTTTAAAAGCTCAATATTTTGTGCGTTTTTCTGTTTCGTTTTAAAACTGTAATTATGCTTCGGTAGGCTAATTGCCGCTGATTTTTTTTCGTCGTTTTGTTTTTACCCCGATATAATAACATTTAATTTAGATTTAAAAATCCGTTTGAGCTGATTTTATAAAGTTTACGTCTATTTTTATCATGTTTAGAAAAACACAGTCGTTGAAATGTTACTCTTGACCACGGGAAAAAAGAAAACTTAATAAGGGAAAACTTAGCGTTTCGTGTATTTCATATTATAAATGAAAGTGCCCGAGTTGCAGAGAGGTCAAAACCAGTTATTGATCTATAATTTTCCTGCATTTGGGGTTAAACGGTAACCGCTTGAGCGCTTAACTAGTTTTATCGGCAATAACAGCTCTTTCTTTGTCACTCTTTAAACTGTTAGTATAGCTGTAGGCGCCTTTCACATCTAAGACTGGCTTTGTGAAGGGAGGCTTTCATTTTCCACTTTTATAATACAGCGATTATAACGATTTACATTCTGAAGAAAACGTTTTCCCCCCTAACTTAAACTTAACGTTATAAAAAGATAGAACGTGTTTAATTATAGGCCGTTACACGTTTGAGATTTAAACGTTTCTACCAGTTCCGTGAAATCCCCCCCATCCAAAGAACAGCGCCTCTTACATTTTATTAAGATGACAGAAAAGGCAACAAAAACACTTAAATTCAACCCAACCCACAGAACTCTTTAAATTAAACTATTTATTTGTTCAGGTTAGGGTTTGGAAGTCGAAGTATTATTTTATAATCAAACATGAAATTATATGGAGTAGGCCTCATAGGCTAATTGTGTTTTAAAACGATCAGAAATGAGACCTACAGTTTTAAAACTGGGGTGGCATTTTTCCACGTTTTACGTGAACACGGTAAACGCCTTAAACTGACTTCGAAGGGACGTATTTTTAAATCTGTCTTATCTGTTAAAGACACAAGTCCGGTCGTTTTACTGCATTTTGTGCTATTCCGAATGTATGCATTTCATGCAGTTTTCTTCATCTGAGTGTTGATCCGGGATATAAAATGCTGTGAGCTATTCGTGCTGGAAGTTTATTGTTTTGGGCTCGATGTGTGAAACAACACAGCCGGTGTGTTGGCCTCTTTCAGGGAAACCTCCACGGACGAATCTCATCGGTACCATTTACTCAGATAATAACCTGCGTAAGTGTATGGACGCGATGTTTATGCTGTTTTCGGGATTTTTGTTAATTTTATTGTTAAACTGTTCACCCCGCTGTTTCTCCTGCAGTATTAGTAATAACCATGATAATAATCATAATTACTATTTCACCAAATGCTCAGGGCTGTGTGACTTCTTAGACACTGAGGCTTACGGATGATGTTCTTATAGCGAGGATTTGGTACGACTTATCGAGATGGATATGAAACGCAGAGCCGGAGTGTTTATAAGCGTGTGTGCAGGGCTGCTGTGTGTGTGTGTGCGCGCGTGTGTGTGACCACTTTGGTGTGCATGATGTGCTACTTTGGTTTGTGTTTGTGTCTGTGTGTTTGTGTGAGAGAGATTAAGACTGAGCTAAAGAGACATGTTGCGACGGGGACTGAGGAATTTCTCCCGATTTAAGTGTAAAGTTGAGGAGTGCTGGGTTATTTCCTTACAAATCCACAGGGCCCCATTGAAATCTGCCGCCCCCTTGCATTTCAGACGGCGTGCGTGTGCGAGCCGGGCTCGGGACATGCCCGTGTGTCCGTCCTCCGTCGGTACTGTCAGTGGAGCCTTATTTAAGCGGCTGCCGTCGCTGAGCTGGGGAGAGAGAGACAGCGCCGAGCCCCTCAGCCTATTAAAAAGCCATTAGCTAATCCCTCTTTCAATAACAAGCGATCGTGTGACAAACAAACGGTGCGCTTTGAGGCCCCGCTCTCTGGACGTCCGCTGACGGAGTAGCATGTCCCTCAGCAGGCAGGTGGTTGGCGGGGTCCAGCTCTCCTGCTGGCAGTGCGGCACCTATAAATGCACTGCAGCCAGCACCTGCCTTGCTGGTAACCTGGTCGGGCTGCCCTCAAAACCAACTGCTCTTTAACATGGCTGTCTCCCGACCTTGTGGATACCGCTCCATCTCCGTAGCCTTTCCATAAATCGGGGACTTTGATGAAGCTGGCTTGTCTCCACAGAACATATTCCTTCTGTACCCTTATTTTTGAACAGTGTCTGTGCTTGTTATGGAATATAAATATACCCAGATATCTGGAATCCAATGTGTGAAAAGAAGTAGTGTGTAAGCATGAAAAATGCTTTATTTTATCTTAACAACCCTTTTGTCTGTTCGAGGGCGTCTGAAGTTGGCAGGCTTGTAAAGGTGTTGATTTTTATCTACTGTTTGCTGGATGATACTCCTGTGCGATTCGTGTCATTGGTGGACACCCAGATACAGAGATCATGTGACGCCGGGCAGGCAGGGGTGGACTGTGACCGAAGCAGGCGTGGTCACTGGCTGTGTCTGGGCCCAGAGTGGCCGCTGGCATTCCGCCCTGCTGGCCGACCTCTCTGAGCAGAGCCCTTTACCCACAAACATCCAAGGTTGTCTTAGGGCTGCTTTCTACGCTGTGTTTGTTTGCATGGTGGCAGTTTGTTGGCTTCCTGGTGGAGACAGCCAAGGGGGGTTTGAGCAAAACTAAAGGCAGCGGCGTGCAGCTTGAGGGGGGGGGGCAGTCAGGGCAGAACTCTGTGTGCAACTGTACACGTCAACCGCGAAAGTGGGAAGATGTCGCCGCGAGACAGAACGGCAGACGAGATTCCACTGTGGGGCCCGGCGGAGATCCGGGCTGCTCGCAGATGAATTTAGAGCGGGTCATTCCGCGTCCATTAAGATGTCGATTTGCCCAGGAATGCCGCCCATGGCTTTTGTTAATTAGTCGGAGGTGCAGGTGCTATAGAGATGCGTGCTATAGGACATCGATCAGGGGCGAGTGAGCTGAAGGTAAAATGTCACTCAGGGTGACTCAGGTCACTTCCTGACTGCTCATGCAGGCTGGTTTTCCCTTTCTTTGCTTAATCAGACATCGTTCATTGTCTTGTTTCCTGCCCTCATTCTCAAGCTCGGGTCTCCCCCTCCCTTTTCTCTCTCTCTCTTTCTCTCTCTCCCTTTTTGCCTTTCTCTCTCTCTGTTCATTCTCTCCTTTTTCTCTTTACTTTTTCCATCCATTCTCTCTCCCTCTCATCATTCTCTCTCGCTCCCTTCTCTCTCGTCCTTCTCTCCTCTCTCTTCCTTCATCCTCTCTCTCCTTCTCTCTCTCCCTCTGTCTTTCCTTCTCTTCTTTCTCTCTCCCTTCACTGTCTCTCTTCTCTAACCCTCATTCTCTCCCCCTCATCCCC